CGAACAGGCGGCTGTGAACCGCACGTTTCTGCAGGCTGTGGGGTTGGTGAGCGACGGCAGAGGGTGGCAGAGCTCTGAGAAACCCCAGCACGCAAACAGCACGCATGTATAATTTATAGCGGGTAAAGAAACACAGGTATCTCCACCTGACTGTGCTGCGTTTTAATCAGCAGATACCAAAACACTTTGTGAAGGAGATAAATATATTTGTGGGTGAAGAAATAGGCATTTGGAACTGGATTTTGCTCCCCAGGATCTTCAGCAGGTCTGTCGTGTTGGAAAGCTGAGGTCGCCCGGCTTGTAGGGCTTAGCCTAGGAGCATACAGCATGCTGCCAAAGTGCCAATGGTGGCCAAGCTGTTGCTGGGCAGTGGTGGGAGAACCCTTCCTCCTGCCCTGGCTTCATTGCGTCCCTAGTTTGGTGGGTTGGACGAAGAAATCAGAGGACTTTCAAGTATTCAGTTACTCGGGCCACCACTTTACCTGTTTTAATCCAAGCTGAAGGTGTGCAGCCACATATCTGCTATATGCTGAAGTAATGATGACCAAAATAGCGTTGTGGGGATGTATTGGGTGTTTCAGCCCATGAGCAGCGTTAGGGCATTGGCTCTGCTTTTGTTCAAGGGATTGGCAGAAACATTCTGCCTTCGTTTGGCACTGAAGCAGGTGGAGGAAGCCTGAGGCTTTATCACGCCCTTAAGCAAGGGGATATCAGAGATGAAATTACAAGGGGAGTGTGTGCTCTGCTAAGCTTAAGCACCATACTCAGTTAAGAAGTGAATCTTCCGCGTTCATTATAGTCTCTCTAAAGAGAGAGCCTTGTCCAGAAAGTCTTCATCTAAAAGAGTCCCTGACTATGGCTTGTGTTTAAATCAGTCTGTTTGTATTTGTTGATTAAAAGGGGACGTTGGTCTCCAGCTTTGAGTCAGCTGTGAGTGAAGGTGAAATAAGGCAAAGTGAGTGTACTTGGATCCCCTCTTTTTCTGAGGCCTGCAAGATGTTGGTCGAGCGCTCAGCATCTGTTAGTATGTGAGAATTTCCCGTAGAAAACGTCACAAAATTAGCAGTTTGTTCCTCATATTTAAAATCTGGGGAAATCAGCCCCTCTGTAGGATGAAAGACACTAAATTTCCCATCTCTGCTGTGGACTCCTTGGTGATGCACTGATATCTTATGAAAACAGGGGGCCTCCCATGCTGCGACAAGGCTTCTGGGTTTACAGGAGTTCAAAGCTGCCAATACTGTAAAAATAAACCCTGATGCTCCCCAGAAGAACGCTCGCTTTCTAACGCTGGAAGTAAGTGAACGTATTCCCTTCTCTTTTGGTTCCTTTCTTCATGCAGGGGTCTCACCAGGCTTGCTGCTCTATTAAAGAGCTGGATGTGTTCAACAGAGCACACGAGATTAAAGTGGATCCTGACAAACCTCTGGAAGGTGTTCGGCTAGCTGCACTGCAGGTAACGGCACCTTCGCACCCCTGAGGAGGAGAGTGGGACAGCAGCGTGGTGCTTGGCAGCATCTCGTGGTCAACGCCATTTCTCCGGCAGGAGCTTTACTATTCCTAAGCCTTTTGAGGTTGCTCATGTAAGGATGTCTTTGCCTTTTTGGCAAACGGTGAAGGTGCAGGTAGGGTTTGGGGAAATTAATATGTCTCTGCGGAGCCATAGCTGTTTCACTGTCATTGTATACTTATTCCCCGAAACCTGTAGCTTTGCCTCAACCTGCCTTACGTTTATCACAAGATGAATGTGTGACAGGCTTCCCTCAGACCTACGCGTGGTCACTAGCTTATGTGTGCAGCTCATTTGTGGACATGCACTTTAGACCAATAGGTATGTCTTGCCAGCTATTTCTTAAATAAAATTTTGTCTGGAATTTTGCTGTACTGGAGGCGATTCACCCACAAGCGCTACACAATCAACAGTGCTGACTACTCTATAGCAAATAAGATGACTGACCACACGGAGGCCTATGGGACAGTAAAAATATTTCTTTAGTGTAAAATGAACCCACCTCTTTTTAATGTGATAACTTCTTCTGTTACACAGGCAAGGAAGACTTTGTTGGTTCCAACACCGCGTCTGAGAACTGGGCTGTTCAATAAGATCGTTCCACCTTCAGGTGCAACTAAGGAGATCCTGCGAATATGTGCTACGTCTCGAGTAAGAATGACAAATGGGAGAGGTCTGAATTAACTTGTAGAAGAGTGTTGTGTTATGGTAGTCCAGCTAGAGGTTGGAAAACCAGATGCTACCTGAAACACTCTTCTACTAGTATGTTATTCCTTGTTTTGTGTACACATCCACCATTAATATTTTTTTTTGTTGGTACGTAAATCATGAGTAAATTTAGTCTTTTCGCTATATTTTATTAGCAGAAAGGTATTGATATTTTGTGAATGCTTTTTGGAACATTATGAGCAACTTTCATAGGTGACTTAGATCTTTACGTTTCTAATACGTAGTACTCCTGTATTCTGCAGTTTGAGCTAGTGAATCCTGTAAGGAATATTTTAGCGTTTACAATTTTTGCATAATCTGGTCAATAAAATACTAGGTTTTACTAACTAGGAAAGATCAGTTCTTTCAGAATCAAAAGTCTAAAGAAACATTAATTCTGTCATTTGCATCAACCGAGGTACAAAAATGTGTTAACGATTTTCTTTTGAAATGTGGTATGTTGCTGCCCTCTGGTGTTAAAATATCATACTGTACAGCTAAAGTCCTTTGGCAGAGAAACCTGCGTTATTTTCTCCGCATCTTTATTTGATATGAAAACGTAACTTGTGCACAATGAATAGGCCAGCTATATTGGTGTTATTTCGTTCTTTATC